AGTTATTTTAGAATGAGAGCAAAAGCAATATGTTTATGACCCTCTACCCTCTTCTCTCAAAAGTAGAGGCAAATTATTCAAGGAGCATTCTGTTATTGTGACTTAGGCTGAATTCTCTTTCACTTATTCTCTTGACAGAATATTGTGCATGGAGATATAAAGCCGGAAAACCTTCTCCTCACAGGAAGTGGAAGGGTGAAAATTGGAGATTTCAGCGCATGTCATGCCTTTGAGGTAATGCTACATATTAAGAAAAGGAAAATGAAGAATTGGCATGAAAAAGATCAGTTCCATATTTTAGTGTGACTGATTTTGTTCAGAAACTATATCTTTGTACCTCTAGTGAGAGTCTGCTCCCTCATAAAAATGGTTACTTGTGTGCATGAGACAAAGGATTTTGTGCTCATGTTGACATTTAACTTCAAATTTTGTAGGACGACAATGATGAGCTCTGGAGGTACCGTGGAACCCCTGCCTTAATCGCACCTGAATGCTGCCTGAGTAAGTGTATCAATCCAACTATCAAAGAATTTCTGTGCTTTCAAATTCCATATACACGCTTGTGACATTGTTGAAGGCACTGTATCAAATACCAGGCTACTAATGCTGCATAGTTGATAACAGATAAAGTTTACAATGGAAAAGCAGCTGATATATGGGCTGCCGGCGTCACTCTGCACTACATGGTAGTAGGCTACTATCCTTTTCTATCAGATAGCTTACCAGAAACTTACAACAAGGTAAAAACTTTGTATTACCATAAAATCTTTCTGCTATAATACAATTTTCCTGCATTTATCAAATTTTACCCCTTTTTCTAAACAGATTGTGAACAGCCCTCTAATACTCCCAGAAGAACTAGATCCTGAACTAAAAGATTTGCTCCAAGGCCTTCTATGCAAAGGTGCTAGTCTTTCCTTGAAAAAACCCAAATTTTGAAGTGAGAAAGATTAACATGTGGTAAGATTAAATTTTTTTTGCTTTTTCTTTTTTGCAGATCCTAAGCAGAGAAGTACTTTGGACATGGTAGCAGCAGAACATCCATGGATTACCAGGGGAAATTCGAATTAATTGTTACATGTTATTACATATATCATTCTACATAGGTACATACACACCATCTTGTACTTTTACAACAATTAAAGAACAAAAGAATGTTGTTTTCTCAAACTATATAAGAAAGAACACAGAAAATTAAGATTCATTTTCCTCAAATATGGGACATTCTTGTGGCAAAGGTGACCTCGCGCCACTGGCAGATGGAGATGGCTCGCTCCCCTGGGGTAAGTCAGAGATGGAAGCCAGGATCCGGCGAATACTAACGGAACGAGCAGGCTTGAAGCTGAGGGATCTCTTATTGTTGTTCGAGAAAATGCTGGATGACTTAGAAAGGATGAGATAAACCAGGGCCTGAACAACCAAAAACATTGCAACCTTCACCAAAACATCTCCAAAGGACATATCTAGATTCATTTTTGAAAGTTTGTTAGAAGGGTTTCTTTAGAAGTTGAAGAGGAATTAAGGATAAGAATGCAGGGGCAACGGTTGGAGCAGGTGTATTTTATAGACGGTGGAAAGTAGGAAGGAATGAGTAATTTAGCCGCGCTCTTTGACCTGTGTCCTCTGTGACTTGAGAGTCTAGGAGGAATTTGACTACACGGCAAGTTGTATTAGAAAAAAAGGTTGGGCATATCCGTAACTGAATGACATGGTCCTCATCTCATGGATTGGTTTCTTGAAAGAAAAAGCATACACATGGTTACATTTATCACGCGATTTGCCTTCATAAAGAAGCAGGCGGGACCTTGATATAGTCTCAATCTCTCTCTTACATGATTAAGAAGTGGACCAATCATGTGACCAGGTCATCCATGAACCATTCAAAGCGGTTTGTATAATCCACCGACTAAATTTGCACTTGATAAAATTTTAATTTATAACTTAGAAGTATTAAAATCTTTAAGATACTTTTAAATTAAAAAATTTATAAATAATATTGAATGACCTATTTTGATTTATTGATATTAGATTCTGAATTAAATTGTTTATTTTTATAAATAACGTGTTTGAGTTTTATGAAATCTTTTTTTTCTTCCTTTATTAATATTTATAAATAATTTCAAATTATTTAAAAAAATTTTATAAATAATATCAAGTCTCATTAATTAATTATTAAATATATTTAATATTTTAATAATAACTAAAGTTGAAGACATAATAATGCCATGCTTTTCCCCATCCCCCCCTACCCCAAATTATGTCGGTTGAAAAAAGAAATGGAAAGTTGGGGAAGCTAGCGCGTCAATGATAAAGGTAATGGGGCTGAGTTGGCCTTGACAATGCAATCCATGACGTTTACGTTTTGTATTGAGCAAAAGGCAGAAAAGAAGGGAAATGATGTCGTTATTGCATGCACCACGACAATATATGTGCCTATGACGTACAGAAATCCATAATTGAAGGCATCTTCTCATCATCCACTACCATGAATTACATGATAAGGCAAAACGGGCCTTGGTGGGCTAACTTCATGCTTTTAATGGGTTTCTGAATCCAGTCTCTTCAAGGGCCATAAGTATCGAGCTCAAGCCCGGTACCCAATAATACAACGAGGCTTTGATTTGGTCTTCCAAGACCCATTTGGTAGATTAAGCCCATCTCAACCAATTCGGAAATGTCTAAACCCTGCCTTCTAAGACAAACGTCGCCGTTTTGTAGTTTTCATCTTAAACCCTAAACCCTCTTTATTGTTTACCTCACTGAAAGAGGAGCAGAACTGAAGGTGAAGAGAATATGATGATCAGAACCAGAGTTCTCAATCCATCAAAGCTCAAATCCCTGTCTTCTCTATCCCTCTTCTCCACTCAAGCTTTTGCTTCGACGACAGAACCTTCAACCTCACATTCGAACATTTTGGCACCAATAAAACCTCGAAACCCCTGCAAAAATGGACATTTTCTCTTCCTCACCTCCCCTTCCTCTGTACAGTCAACAGGCACGACATCGCCGTCAAATCAGCAACAAAAGCGCTCGTCTTCAAAAGCTTTGCCCTTGACCCGGGATGGGAATTTTGATGAAGAAACTTCACACAACACGGTTTGCCCTGGATGTGGAATTCACATGCAGGACTCAGATCCTAAGCACCCGGGCTTCTTTATCAAGCCGTCCTCTAAGGCCAAGGACCCAGTTCTAAAAAAGGGAAGCCGCTATCTGGTTCCTGTATCAACGGAACCCGAATTCACTGCTTCCCTTAAGAAAGGTCTCGTTTTGGAGCAAGATGGCGAAAGCCCCGGGCTTGAAGGAGAAACCGCAGATGGAGAAAAGCACGAGAAGCCCGTGGTTTGTGCAAGATGTCATTCGTTGCGCCACTATGGCAAGGTGAAGGATCCGACGGCGGAGAATCTGTTGCCAGAGTTTGACTTCGATCACACTGTTGGCAGGAGACTGGCATCTGTTTCTGGGGCCCGGTCTGTGGTGTTACTCGTCGTTGATGCATCAGATTTTGATGGGTCTTTCCCGAGGAAAGTAGCAAAACTAGTGTCAGCTGTTGCCGATGAGAATTGGACTGCTTGGAAAAAAGGGAAGTCCGGAAATGTACCAAGGATTGTGCTTGTAGTTACCAAGCTTGATCTTTTGCCTAGTTCAATATCCCCTACAGGATTTGAGCATTGGGTAAGGCAGAGAGCTAGGGAGGGTGGAGCCAGTAGGATTGCCAAATTGCATTTTGTGAGTCCAGTTAGGGACTGGGGAGTGAAGAGTTTGGTGGAGGATATAGTGGAGATGGCAGGGCCTAGAGGCACAGTGTGGGCTGTGGGGGCCCAAAATGCAGGGAAGAGTACACTGATAAATGCTATTGCGAAGACTGTTGGTGGAAAGGTTGGTTTTTTGACAGAGGCACCAGTTCCCGGGACTACTCTGGGGATAGTAAGGGTGGAAGGGGTGCTGCCAGGGCAGGCAAAGTTGTTTGATACACCAGGGTTGTTAAATCCGCAGCAGATTACAACTAGGCTGACTAGGGAGGAGCAGAAACTTGTTTATGTTGGTAAGGAGTTGAAACCAAGGACTTATAGGCTCAAGGTCAGTTATAAATGTTGATGACTTAAGTACTTATGTTCTTAATCTGTTTAGAGAATGTTGCAGTTTTGTTTGCTCTCTTGAGACTTGCAGTAAATTTTATTTCTTTTATCTATGCCCTTAGGTTCTATTTGGAAAGTTTAAATGGTACTTAGTGGTATGGTGTTGGTCAAAAGCTAGGGTCAAGTTAGCATTGTAATATGTTAACCAATGAACTTGAAAGTTGAAACTGATAAAAAATTGACCTATATAGGATGGTATAGTTGTGAAATGTGTTTCCCGAACACATTTTGAGTAAAATTTTAGTGACTTTGGTCTGGTTGTGGTTGATTTTTGGATTGGAGTTAGAGTATGTTGCATGGGGTTATAAACATGTAATGTTAGTGAATGGAGAGATTGCAAATTTTGTGTATTAGACTATTAGCTAATTTTACTTTCAGATATTATGGCTCATGACTTAACGAAGAAAAATAGATATTATGGCTCATGCTAGTACATGTAACTGTTGACAGGTTGGTCATACAGTTCATATTGCTGGTCTAATGAGGCTGGATATTGACGAGTTATCTGTAGAATCTATGTATGTAACTGTCTGGGCATCTCCTTATCTCCCATTACATATGGGGAGAACAGAAAGTGCACAGAGAATACTAGAGGAGCATTTTGGTCATCAGTTACAGGTATGGTTTACCAATGTGAATAATCTGCATATCTTTGTTTCAGTTTTGCTGATTGATTACCTTAATTCTTAAGTGCCATTTTGTTCCTATATCTCTCTGGTTTCTACTTTGTTGGTTCTTTTCTTTGACAAAGACTTTTATTTGAGGAACTGTTGGATTGAATTGATACTCTGATAACTAACCAAGTGCTCAAAAGATTAAGCTTGGCAAGAAGAGTGTTATGTTGTCATTTCATTCGTCCCCTTCACAACATTCAAAAAAAGAAAAAAAAAAAAAATTCTCTTGTTTAATCTAAAGGCTGTAAGGTGAACTAGTGATATTTGATTCCAAACTGTTTAAATGTAATATTTCTTTTCCTCTTGTTATTGCAATTTGGCTGCCTAGTAATGTTACTCGTCATGCTTTTTGCATTGCTTATGGCTTTAGCCACCAATTGGTGAGAAAAGAGTAAAAGAGCTTGGAAACTGGGTGAGAAAGGAATTCCGTGTTTCTGGTAGCAGCTGGGATTCAAGTTCAGCAGATATTGCCGCTGCTGGTCTTGGTTGGTTTGCTCTTGGACTTAAAGGGGAGGCAGTTTTAGGTGTTTGGACCTATGAGGGAGTTGATGTTGTTCTTCGTAATCCTTTGATTCCTTTTAGAGCAGAGATTTTTGAAGAAGCAGGATTTACAGTCTCAAAAATTGTCTCCAAGGCTGACCAAGCTTTAAACAAGTCCCACAGGCAAAGTAAAAGGAAAGAGAGTGAACAACAGACAGTTACCCCTGTGGAATCAACAGCATCAACAGCTAATTCGAGCCCAACTTCTTGCTAAGGCTGCCGAATATGGTACTTGAAAAATGTAGCATCAACCTTTGCTAGATGAAAGAGAAAAGTTAACTAGACGGAAGCCACATTTGGCTAGTTTTGCACCTTTCCTATTGGTGATGGGACATCCTTCTTTTGGTGCTTCCCAATAAACATGACGGATTTACAATAAGGGGCAATGGGGCCTCCTACCCAGACGGGGACACAGAATCAATAGGACATACGACAGCATATTTGGAAAGTCTTACAGCATTCTTGGATCGAGAGCAAAAGATTGAGCCGAAGTTTCAATTTATTTTCTTCTGTACTCTCCATTTCTTTTGATTTTTAAACCGTACATGCTACAAATGTTATGTTGATGTGCATTATTCATGGATTTTTTTTTTTTAAGTTAATGAAATTATCTAGCATTAGTATATCAATTATTTTACATGTTATTAGTATTTTAAAGAAGAGTTGATTTTTTTGACAAAATTACAAGTTATTGGATACTCTTATTTTGTTAGTAGAAGGATTATTTTGATACTAAAATTAAAATTTAAAAACAATTTTAATATTTTTTAAAATTAAAAATAATTTCAATACAAATTTAAAATTTAAAATACTAAATTGATATTTTAACCTTTATTAATTGACTTTTTTGATTTAGAACAGTTATTAGAACGGACCTCCCATACAAATACCATATTTTATTATCTCTCATGAAATTTATTGATATACTAACAAAATTTGGAAGAATCTTTAAGAACAAAGAAAGACAAACAATGCTGCGGGCCTAACTTCATCTTAGTCAGACTGGGAAAGGCATGCTGCAGGCGTATGTGACTAATATAACAATTTTTATTATTTAAGCTATTTTAGGATTTTTTTTAATTAGTATCTCTATTTAAAATTTTAATGATAAAATTTTAACTTTTATATTTGGAGCTTTATACCATTCTCTTTCAATGGAACTCAATAAAAAAATATATTCAGAATCAGAATCCTTCCGTCTTCCCCTCTCTTTTATATTCCTCTCATACTCCCTTTTATTTCTATTCAACTTCTCACCCTTTGGAATCCAGTAAATACGTTTTCAGATCAAACAGCACTAATTCCAAACAATTAATCCCTATTTCAAGAACTCATCAAAGTTCATCCATTTCCCTTCTCCAACAATCAGATTTACAGACCCCAAATAAAAAAAATAAAAAAATCCATTAAACCAAACCAACAACAATTCCATAAACAGATCATCCAACTTCCATAACATCAATATTTCAATCCCCAATTCTTCTCCAGGCCGCTGTTGCGTCCTCTGGAAAGATTTTCTATCTAGGTATTACCAATCCAAAACCCAAAATTGTCTTCATCATCCTCATCGCTCGAGCTTGCAATGGCGAAGAGAGAGGAAAGAGACGTGAGATGCAGTGAGGGAGGTCGAAAGACTGAGGAGAGAGAAAGGGTTTAAAATATTTTAGGGTAGGGGTTCAAAGGTCCAATGAAAAAGTAAAAATCCTTTTATTAAAATTGTTAGAAAAATTAATAGGTATATATCCATCGTGATATATATTTTTTATTTATAGTTAAAGTATTTTTATATTTTTTAATATTAATATTTTTTGACAATGGTAAAATTAAACTGTTTGTATGAATTTAATATATTTAATGATATTAATTTTTAATATTAATTATAAAATTTTAATTTAATTTATAAAATAATACTTACAAAATTTAATTTTATAATTATGATACCCTATTAAATTATGCCTTAAAAGGTACGGGATTAAAAAATCTCATATGAAGAAAGGCTCGTGCCGAGGGCTAACTAGCAATCGGCCTTACTGGCATATAAGTGTGCTTTTATTTTAATTAAAAAAATTAAAAAAAATAAAGTGGACCAATAAAAAAAAAAAAGAGTAATGCTAGATTGGAGCCTGCACTAAATTGACATATTAAAAAGGGCTCATTAGTCATTATCACCTTATGAATTTTTTAAATTAACAACTGAAATTAGTGCTCAATCATTAAAATAAAATATCTAGGGGTAATAATTCAACTAGTGTGGACCTTGTGGTACGTTTGGGTGGGTGATGAGGACATTCAATTGTTGTGGACCCAGCAGCAATTGCCTATTGCTATCGGAAATTTTTATCAATTTATTTGATCCAAAATACTTTATTCAAATAGTATATCCAAAATATTATTTTATAATTAATTTATCTAGAT